AAGAGTGATTTATGGAATCCCAGAAGAACCAGGGAATAATTACAGTGCACCTAAGGACAGGAGGAGAGTGTGTGAGACCAGCAAAAAGGTTAGGAGGTGGACAGGGGATTCAGAAGAGCAGGGAATCTATGTGAAAAGGGAGTAGCGAAAAGGAAAATCTAAGGGCATAGATCTCGAGAGGTCAGAGAGGAATTGCTGCTCCTGCGTCTCCATGTCACCCCCACCAACACCACCTTTACACCACTGCCCTCCCTGTTCCCGCTGTTTGCGGGCAGGGAAACAAGTACAGAAAATGTGTGATGAACTCAGTGGAATGAAAAGGGGAAGACCTAGAGTCCATTCAGATTAGCTGCGGAACCTGCAAGCTGCCCTTACTGCAGAGCAAAGGCTCTGGTTGCACTTTCACCCTGCCCTCAGCACCGTTGCCTGAGGCTGCCAGATCTCCGCCTCACCAAAGGATCCTTGAAGTACATGAGCCTGCGGTGATCCAGCGTGAACCAGCGCTTCTTAAAAGCCTCTCTCTGCTGCGAAGGGAAGAGGTGACATATGTAAGGGGACAGTGCCCTCTGCTGCGAGCAGTGCGAAGGGATACCCAAAATTCAGCCCAACCACTTGAACCAAGCCCCTGGCCTTAACAGCAACCTCCTCCTCGCCCTTTCTGAGCTGAGAGTGGGGGTCAGTATCGGGGTTTTCAGTCCCAACTGCTGTCCCCAACACTTGGACTTCTGCGAAGGACCCCAGGGTTGAGACAGGAGAATTCTAGACGCTAAATACCTGTAAGGTCATGCACACACAGACACATGCAGAGAGATCTGTCGCTCTGGGAGAAAGCAGGGACTCTGGCTTCATCTACTTTCACATGTGTCCTTCCCCTTCCTTTTATTCTCCCCTCCCTTGGTGCACACACACTGTTCCCACGGGTGTCTAAAGAGTTGGGGGGAATGGGGAAACAGCAGGAGAAAAACATTGAAGAAGGGAAAGCCAGTGGATCTCTGGCAGGTCCCTGCTAGACTTTTTTTACCACAGCAGCTCACCTTGGGACCAGTCTTCTCCATGTATCCTTCCTTCAAGAAGTTTCTCGTCAGTCGATTTTTAATCTGACAAAAAAGGCAAGAGCAACATTCACCTAGCCATACTTCTTTGCTATTTGCTTTAGTCCCCTTCCCTCTTCCTCCTATTCCCCCAAATTCAGTCACCTTCTAAATTTGTATTTCCAGAAATTTCCAGCCAGAAGTCACTTCTGCCCCCAAAATGCCCAGAAACAGCAGAGAGTGGCTGTTTTCTGACCACCACAGGCCCTTTTAAACACACTTTCTCATCCTCCTGTCTAAACACTGCAATTTCCACTTCTGTACCTGGGGTTATAATAGCAACTAATGAGCTCTTTCATCACATAAGCAGCAGGAGACCCAGCACTGAGCTCCAGTGCTGTCTTACCTCATTATCGCTGGCAATGGGAAACG